GTTTTTAACATCTTTGCTGTCGCTAGTTAATTTCGATACCGAAAAACATCGATAGCAAGTTACAGAATCCCGGTACTGGTAAAATCATTAATGCCGGATGTTGTGTATGATCGGTGATTTATATAGAGCGCGCCGTCGCATTGAGTATTCGCGGGCGCGACTAAATATATCCGAATTCCGCCGAGAGAGGGATTGCGATAACGCGGGTCTCGGAAGATTGGTGGGAGCGAGTGGGAGAGTCGATCCACGACCGTACGATCCAACAGAAGCATCTCTTGTCTTCCGGATAGATAATCGCAACTCACGTCTTGTATTACACTTATTAAATATACATATTATACGAAGTTACCAGTGAAAGATGTAACAGTTGGCGACGAGGATAAAAATTCCAAAAACCGGAGAAGTAAACTGGAAGAGCACGTGTTGTGCGTGAGGTAACGGGAAATTAGAGAGCACGTGGCACGGAACTTTCGAGAAGGGCGGCTCAGCTCAAGACGAAAATGCCGTTAGCAGACGAAGACAATACGAACCGGGTTGCAGGAAATTTGAACTCCGGACAGCTTACTGGCCAATTAACGAGACAAATTGGAAGTGGAAATACAATTAATGTAGATTTCTTCGATATTAAGCAACAAACGTTTCGAAGATGGTTGCAACGTTTAGAAGGAGCTTTCCGTGTTTTTAAAATTCAAGAAGGGCAAGAGAAGGTGGCTTATTTATTACATTTTCTCGGCGTAGAGGCTTTCGGAATTCTTTGCGATCGATTGGATCCACAAGACCCATACCTTTTGCCTTATGATGCCCTACTTAATAAATTAAAAGAATATTACGCTCCGGAGCCGTTGGAAATAGCGAAAATTTTTGTTTTTCGGAAGCGATTACAATTACCGGAGGAAAGTGCTCAAGAGTATATGGCTGCATTGCAAAAGCTGTCTTTATATTGCAAGTTCGGCGAATATTTGAAGACGGAGCTCAGGAATCAATTTGTTTTTGGACTAAGGAATCAACGTATCCAAGGTCGACTTTTGGAGACAGCAAACCTGACGATGGAATCAGCATTGAAGACGGCTAGCAGGATGGAGTTAGCGGAAAAAGGCGTAAACGAATTAAAGTCAGAAGCGGCAGCAGCAGTGGATTTCGTCGGATCAAATAGTAAAGCGTTGAAGAAGAAAACAGACAATGAGACCAAAGTGAAGGGCCATTCGAAGAACTATAAACCTGGAAGAAGGACAAATTCGTTTAATGGGACTAATAAGTCCAAAACACAGGCGTCGAAAAATTCAAAGTATAATAATGTTTCTTGTTTTAGGTGTGGACAGAATCATCTGGCACCGGATTGCACTCTTCCTCGACACGTGAAGTGTCATGAATGTGGTGGTTTTGGCCATTTGCAGAAAGTCTGCAAGAAGAAATGCAAAGCTCAGTTATTGGAAGAGGTTTATCGATTGGATGAAATGGAACATTCGTATTTCCGGGATAAGTTCATGGTCTCTCTCTTTCTGGAAAATCGGCGAGTAACCTTCGAGGTAGATTGCGGAGCTGCGGTCACTCTGGTGAGTGAAAAATGGCTTAGGAAGATATTTCCGCGATTGGCCATACAAAAGACAGAGCTAAGGTTGCGATCGTACTGTAAACAAAATTTTGCGCCGTTAGGTTTTGTAAAAGTTAAAGTACGCGACATTGATTGTATACGCGAGTTGAATATGTATGTAGTCTGTTATGATAGAAGTTCTTTATTGGGTCGTGAGTGGATAAACCAGTTAGGAATATTAGGAAAAGTAAAGTCGAGTTTGAGAGAAATTGGAAACATAAAATCGCTGGAAGTAGAAGGTCAAGATAAATTAGAATTATTATTTAAGAAATATCCTGATGTACTGAGTGAGGAGTTTCCATCCATGAGTAAAATCGAAGCACGGTTAAAATTAAAAGAAAACGCGAAACCGGTATTCTTAAAAAATCGGGTAGTCCCATTTAAATTAAAAGAAAAAGTTGAAGCAGAATTAGAAAATATGGTTCAAGCGGGAATCTTAGAGAAGGTAGAGTCTTCAAGATGGGCTACGCCAATAGTACCGGTATTAAAAAAGAACGGACAAATTAGAATTTGTGGCGATTTCAGCGTCACAGTTAATCCGTTGTTAGTGGTGGATGAACACCCCTTACCCACGATCGATGAACTTTTTGCGTCAATGACAGGAGGAAAAATATTCTCTAAAATTGATTTAAAGCAGGCGTATCTGCAATTGCCGGTAACAGAACAAGATAGAGAAATTTTAACCTTAAATACGCATAAAGGACTGTATAGAAGTAACCGTTTAATGTACGGGATAGCTTCGACACCAGCGATATGGCAACGAACGATAGAAAATATTTTAAATGGAATTCCAGGAGTAGCGGTATTCCTGGACGATATAAGAATTACGGGAAAAAATTTAGAGGAACATGTAAAACGTTTAGAATTAGTTGTTGAACAATTATCAAAACACAATGTACGCATTAATAAGGAAAAATGTGAATTTTTAAAAGATAGTATTAGTTATTGTGGATATGTAATAGGTAAAAGTGGAATTTCAAAAGAGAAACAGAAAATTGAAGCAGTAAGAAAAATGCCTAGGCCTAATAATATTACGGAAGTAAGAGCATTTATCGGATTGATAAATTATTACGGTCGATTCATTGAACATTTAAGTGATCTCTTACGTCCTTTGAATAATTTGCTTAAAAAGAATATTTCATTTAGATGGACAAAAGACTGTGAATCAGCTTTCGAAAGAGCTAAAGCGGAATTTGAGAAAAATAAAATATTAGTTCCTTTCGATCCGCAGTTGCCAATCGTGTTAGCTACCGACGCTAGCTCGTACGGAGTGGGCGCGGTTCTGTCACACGTATACCCAGACGGAAGCGAGAGAATCATTCAATGTGCTTCAAACTCGCTTACCGATACACAAAAAAAATACGCGCAAATAGATAAGGAAGCGTATGCGATCATATTTGCCATAAAGAAATTTCACCAGTTTTTATATGGAAATCATTTTACTTTAGTAACGGATCATAAACCACTAGCGCAGATTCTTAATCCCAAGAAAGGTTTGCCAGCATATAGTGCAATGCGAATGCAGCACTATGCTGTATTTTTACAAGCTTTCAATTTTACTATTAAATATAAGAAATCAACCGAGCACGGTAACGCAGACGGGTTTTCGCGATTACCAGTGGCAGAAAAGCGTAAAGGGGAATATGATCCGATAGATATATTCCAAATGGAAAACTTAGAAACGCTACCAGTTACAGCAAAAGAAATTTGTAATAAATTAGGAAAGATGAAGCACTATTAAAAATAGCGAAAGCACTAGAACAAGGGGAAAGTCTTGTACCTTTAGGCTATCAAGATAATGAATTTTCGTTGCAAAACGGTATAATTTTTAGAAGAGATAGAGTGGCAATTCCTAAATCTTTAAGAAAACGTATTTTAGAGGAATTACACGAGGGACATTTTGGTTGTGTAAAAATGAAAAATCTAAGTAGAAATTTCTGTTGGTGGCTAGGAATGGACAAAGAAATTGAAATGTTAGTTAAAAATTGTAAAGCGTGTAACACTTTTAGTAATAACCCTGGAACCGCTAAAGTTAAACATCGTTGGGAACCGGCGACAGAACCATTTCAACGAGTACACATAGATTTTGCGGGACCATTTATGGGATATAATTTTTTAGTTATGGTCGATGCATATACACGGTGGCCCGAAGTGCACATTATGAAAAATATAACCTCGAAGAAAACAATAGAAAAATGTAGAGACATTTTTACAACATTTGGATTACCACAGGTATTCCCAGA